AAACCGCTCATTTTGAGTCAGAATATCACTTAATATTTGTACAAAAGTAGAAATTTGTATTTTTGGAATTATACGCTATTATACGGCTTTTATAGGGAGTTTCGGCACATGACTCTCAGGAAAAAATTTGGTCGGCATTCGTCACCTACATAGATAAGAAGCAAATATACCGAGTTTGGGCACGATCGGGAATTTACACTTGCCTAAGTTCCCTTGTAAGTGCGCCGTGCCTTAGTGGGAGGCGAGGGCGGGGCGGGGCGGGGTGCACGAGGAGGTGAGGCGGCAACGCCCGGGCCAGACACGGGCTGCTTATCTCCCCAGTGGCAATACAGAGGCCTGCGGGAGGTCCTTGTCGGCCGGGCCTCCTCCGTCCTCTGCTCGCCTCAGCGTGGGTACCGGGCCTCGGCCGGGTCAGCTCGCTAAGCCAGCGGCTGTATAAGACAATGGCGGAGACACACCCCGCCTCACCCCGCGCCACGCCGCCGCCTCACCACGGCGGCCCTTTGGTCGGAGCCAAGGGCAGACGAGAGAACCGGGGCCCCATCATTATGGTCGCTACCCAGCGGCCGAACCGCCCCGACCCGCCCCGCCCCGGGCCTTCGGTTCAGTAGCGGGACGAAAAGTGAGCACTGCGCGCGCGGTGCGGCCAGGGGCGCTGCTCAACAAGTAGCATGCAAATTAATGGCCCCGTCCCACTCGCGAGCTGGGCGAGTGTCGGTGTGTGGTGCGTGTGCTGCGCCTGCTGAGCGGTCGCTACCGGTCGACATCATCACGCCCCACCATCACGCCCTTCCACGTCGGCGATGAGAGTTTCGCAGTGCTGCTGCTGGTTTTTGACGCGATTGAACTTGAAGGAGGCCTCAGTCAGGCCGAGGGCAAGGCCGAGGCAGGCGCACGGCCAGGCACTGTACAGGCGGGCCGAGCTTGGAGCTCCTCGGGGGCCGCTCCCATTGCTGCAGTACGCGGGTAAGGGGGGTGGGGAGGGGATAGGCTTGGGATAGGCTCAGCGCCGGGATGGATCACTTGGCATGGTGTTCCTTTGAGGGCGCCCGGCCACGCCCCGCCACGCCCCGCAGGGTAGGGCCCCCTTCTACGTGGGAGGACACAAATGAACCGAAAGGGGAGAGTCGGGAGCTGGGCGTCGCGACGGGAGGGCCTGTCGCAGGCCTCGTCTCGCGCCGGGCGAGAGCGAAAAGGGTGGAGGATGGGGGGTGGGGGGGGGGGATGTTTGGCCTGCCTTTGCAGCCGGGGCGGCGCGGGGCTAGCGAACAACACAAACAAGAGAGAAATAAAGAAGAAGTGGGCTGGGGCGAATGGAAACGTGTCCAGTCCGCTGGACCGACCATTTATTCAACGCCATGGGTCATTGGAGAAGGGAAGAGTTAAAAGAGTCGGACGGCATTCAGGTCAGGTTAAAGGGAAGAGGCAGTATTCTCGCGCAGGTTTGGATCCGAGCCGGAGTGAGCGCCAAACCAGGGATTTTAATTTCCCAAAGATTCTTTTTAGGATTTTTTTTTCAGAATTCTCAAAAAATCCCACAATTTTTTCCTGAGAAGTTTCTTAAACTTTATTTTTCTCGAAAAGTTTCCAAATTTTCCGGAAATTTTTGGACGTTACGTAACCCGTGGCGTACAAACCCGACCAGAACGAGCTCAAACGCGCGCGGGCTGGTGCGGTCGGTGAGGTTTATTCTGTAATGCGAATACAACAGGAGGAGGGGCCCTCTCCGTTTCCCCTAAATCACCATCATCATCTGCCTTCCACTGCCGCTCAGCCGGCGGGCTGCGCTTTGCGGAGTCTCTCCCCGGCCACCTCCCGACCCGATACACAAACACACGGCGGCGGCGGGCAGGGTTGCAGCAGGGGCCGCTCGCCCGAGTCCCGCTCACGCACCTCCTCGCCCTCAGGCCATTGACGAAACCTTCCCGCGCGCCCAACCGCAATGCCTCCTCGCCTATGGGCCGACCCTCGCTCCTCGCTGCAGTACATCTACGCTACTACAGCCGTTAGTTACACTCTTGGGGAGCGACCCACAGTCCATAATTTTCGGATCTCTCTCACTCTCTCTGTTCCTCTCTCCCTCTTATCACCATTCCGACCCCGGTGCGGGATTGGTGCGGAAAGCAACAGAGAACGGGAATGGAGGGAGGATTCGAAGTTGACTTTTCATCCGAAAATCAACGAGGGCAAAGACTGGCAGACAGAGGAAAAGACGGGGAAGGGGGTGGCACTGTTAAAGCCGTAGTCACTTTGCTTGCCAACATTTTTGCATTCCTTTTTGAATGCCAATTTTCCCCCCTCTTCTTTGACAGTTGAGAAGACAAAATTTGACATCCTTTGAAAGTCTGCCCAAAATTTGCATGCAAAGAAATAAAATGTAGGATGCAAAAAAATATTTATTTTTTAAATGCCAAAATTTTGGTGAGGCAAGCGCCCACGGCGTTGGGAGTGGCGGCGTCGGGCGGCGTCGAGTGGAGTGGCGGTGGTGCTGGAGAGGAGAGGCTGGCCGCGCGCCAGGCACGCGAACGAGAGCGGGCGTTTGCTCGGACCCCAGGACTCCGCACTCTACGCACACACATGCATCTCTGCCTTAACATATACATACTGCTACTCCCCGCCTGTAACATTTCCAGAAGTTTATTTTTCTTTCCCAATTCTGTTCCGAGGAAATACACGGAGAGAAAGTCTCAGCTAAGATATCACCTAACTCGTGTTATTTTTATACTACAAGTTGTAGCCGCTGTTGTAAAAAAGAGCGATTTTATTTTTATCTCGAAATTGCATTGATGCCCGAGCCACGCAGTTTTTTGCGCGGCAGCAAAACAAACCTTGATGCGCCCTTTAAAAAAAATCACAAGAATTCCTTGTAACAAAACAAGACACTAGCCTTGACTAATGCTTATACACTTCTACAACACCCCTGACCTCGACTCTTCACGGGGCGCGACGAAAGAAGTGGAAGAGCCAAGCCAGAGAACACGCGCGTATGGGCCACGGAAAGAGGCAACAACGCGGGAGTGATGCGCGCGGGAGAGTGCGCCGGAGGGTGGGTATAAAAGCGGAGGAGGGGCGGGGAGAGAGAGTCCCCTCGAGTGGGAGAGTAATGGCAGCGTAATAAGCGCCCGCTGTAAATGGGGACACGTGGCACGGACCTCGCGGATATTTTTCATCGAGGTAGAAAGTTTTGTCGTTATTTCCATGGGATAGGGGGTGAGGCGGGAAGAGTGTGGGAGGAAAGGGG